GGAAGTGATTGATTTATTCATTTGAAAATAGCGACAATAATCATTATTTACGGTCCCTGATTTTAATAACAAATTCAGAGAGGTATTCCACATTTAAATCGGGTAAAAATTTCAAAAGTTATGGGCTAAGCAGTGCTGGGATCTGGTCACTTTTCTGCAAACCCATTTTTTGCAAATTTTGACAGGTTGGGGGTCATAAAAAATTACAAAACATTGACCAAAAATTCGAAAATAAACCAACGATGCAGCTAGATAGATATTTAAATAACAAATTCAGAGAGGTATTCCACTTTTAAATCGGGTAAAAATTTCAAAAGTTATGGGCTAAGCAGTGCTGGGATCTGGTCACTTTTCTGCAAACCCGTTTTTTGCACATTTTGACAGGTCGGGGGGTCATAAAAAATTAAAAAAATATTGACCAAAAATTCGAAAATAAACCAATAATGCGGCTAGATAGATATTCTAATATCAAATGCAGAGAGGTATTCCACTTTTAAATCGGGTAAAAATTTCAAAAGTTATGGGCTAAGCAGTGCTGGGATCTGGTCACTTTTCTGCAAACCCATTTTTTGCAAATTTTGACAGGTCGGGGGTCACAAAAAATTACAAAATATTGACCAAAAATTCGAAAATAAACCAATAATGCAGCTAGATAGATATTTTAATAACAAATTCAGAGAGGTATTCCACATTAAAATCGGGTAAAAATTTCAAAAGTTATGGGCTAAGCAGTGCTGGGATCTGGTCACTTTTCTGCAAACCCATTTTTTGCAAATTTTGACAGGTCGGGGGTCATAAAAAATTACAAAATATTGACCAAAAATTCGAAAATAAACCAACGATGCAGCTAGATAGATATTTAAATAACAAATTCAGAGAGGTATTCCACTTTTAAATCGGGTAAAAATTTCAAAAGTTATGGGCTAAGCAGTGCTGGGATCTGGTCACTTTTCTGCAAACCCGTTTTTTGCACATTTTGACAGGTCGGGGGGTCATAAAAAATTAAAAAATATTGACCAAAAATTCGAAAATAAACCAATAATGCGGCTAGATAGATATTCTAATATCAAATGCAGAGAGGTATTCCACTTTTAAATCGGGTTAAAATTTCTAAAGTTATGGGCTAAGCAGTGCTGGGATCTGGTCACTTTTCTGCAAACCCATTTTTTGCAAATTTTGACAAGTCGGGGGTCATAAAAAATTACAAAATATTGACCAAAAATTCGAAAATAAACCAATGATGCAGCTAGATAGATATTTTAATAACAAATTCAGAGATGTATTCCACTTTTAAATCGGGTAAAAATTTCAAAACTTACGGGCTAAGCAGTGCTGGGATCTGGTCACTTTTCTGCAAACCCATTTTTTGCAAATTTTGACAAGTCGGGGGTCATAAAAAATTACAAAATATTGACCAAAAATTCGAAAATAAGCCAATAATGCAGCTAGATAGATATTCTAATAACAAACTCAGAGGGGTATTCCACTTTTAAATCGGGTAAAAATTTCAAAAGTTTGGGCTAAGCAGTGCTGGGATCTGGTCACTTTTCTGGAAACCCATTTTTTTCAAATTTTGACAGGTCGGGGGTCATAAAAAATTACAAAATATTGACCAAAAATTTGAAAATAAACCAATGATGCAGCTAGATAGATATTTTAATAACAAATTCAGAGAGGTATTCCACTTTTAAATCGGGTAAAAATTTCAAAAGTTATGGGCTAAGCAGTGCTGGGATCTGGTCACTTTTCTGCAAACCCGTTTTTTGCACATTTTGACAGGTCGGGGGGTCATAAAAAATTAAAAAAATATTGACCAAAAATTCGAAAATAAACCAATAATGCGGCTAGATAGATATTCTAATATCAAATGCAGAGAGGTATTCCACTTTTAAATCGGGTAAAAATTTCAAAAGTGATGGGCTAAGCAGTGCTGGGATCTGGTCACTTTTCTGCAAACCCATTTTTTGCAAATTTTGACAAGTCGGGGGTCATAAAACATTACAAAACATTGACCAAAAATTCGAAAATAAACCAATGATGCAGCTAGATAGATATTTTAATAACAAATTCAGAGAGGTATTTCACTTTTAAATCGGGTAAAAATTTCAAAAGTTATGGGCTAAGCAGTGCTGGGATCTGGTCACTTTTCTGCAAACCCGTTTTTTGCACATTTTGACAGGTCGGGGGGGTCATAAAAAATTAAAAAATATTGACCAAAAATTCGAAAATAAACCAATGATGCGGCTAGATAGATATTCTAATATCAAATGCAGAGAGGTATTCCACTTTTAAATCGGGTAAAAAATTCAAAAGTTATGGGCTAAGCAGTGCTGGGATCTGGTCACTTTTCTGCAAACCCATTTTTTGCAAATTTTGACAAGTCGGGGGTCATAAAAAATTATAAAACATTGACCAAAAATTCGAAAATAAACCAATAATGCAGCTAGATAGATATTCTAATAACAAATTCAGAGAGGTATTCCACATTTAAATCGGGTAAAAATTTCAAAAGATTGGGCTAAGCAGTGCTGGGATCTGGTCACTTTTCTGCAAACACATTTTTTGCAAATTTTGACAGGTCGGGGGTCTTAAAAAATTAAAAAAATATTGACCAAAAATTCGAAAATAAACCAATAATGCGGCTAGATAGATATTCTAATATCAAATGCAGAGAGGTATTCCACTTTTAAATCGGGTAAAAATTTCAAAAGTTATGGGCTAAGCAGTGCTGGGATCTGGTCACTTTTCTGCAAACCCATTTTTTGCAAATTTTGACAAGTCGGGGGTCATAAAAAATTACAAAACATTGACCAAAAATTCGAAAATAAACCAATGATGCAGCTAGATAGATATTTTAATAACAAATTCAGAGAGGTATTCCACTTTTAAATCGGGTAAAAATTTCAAAAGTTATGGGCTAAGCAGTGCTGGGATCTGGTCACTTTTCTGGAAACCCATTTTTTGCAAATTTTGACAAGTCGGGGGTCATAAAAAATTACAAAACATTGACCAAAAATTCGAAAATAAACCAATGATGCAGCTAGATAGATATTTTAATAACAAATTCAGAGAGGTATTCCACTTTTAAATCGGGTAAAAATTTCAAAAGTTATGGGCTAAGCAGTGCTGGGATCTGGTCACTTTTCTGCAAACCCATTTTTTGCAAATTTTGACAAGTCGGGGGTCATAAAAAAATACAAAACATTGACCAAAAATTCGAAAATAAACAAATGATGCAGCTAGATAGATATTCTAATAACAAATTCAGAGAGGTATTCCACTTTTAAATCGGGTTAAAATTTCAAAAGTTATGGGCTAAGCAGTGCTGGGATCTGGTCACTTTTCTGCAAACTCATTTTTTGCAAATTTTGACAGGTCGGGGGGTCATAAAAAATTACATAATATTGACCAAAAATTCGAAAATAAACCAATGATGCAGCTAGATAGATATTTTAATAACAAATTCAGAGAGGTATTCCACTTTTAAATCGGGTAAAAATTTCAAAAGTTATGGGCTAAGCAGTGCTGGGATCTGGTCACTTTTCTGCAAACCCATTTTTTGCAAATTTTGACAGGTCGGGGGTCATAAAAAATTACAAAATATTGACCAAAAATTCGAAAATAAACCAATTGTTTAGCTAATAAGCTTTTTTATTAGCTGTGGAAATTAAAGAATTAACAAAATTTTGAGTTCGATTTATGCGAGAGCAGCGATTTTATTTCGACGAAAATGAGTTACAAAAATGTTCCGTGAGATCGAAAGGAAGAATACAATTGAATTGAATAAAGACGCGGATCAGCCGATTGCTGACCGAAAGTATAAACCAACAAGCAACGAGAGTGGTGAATAGAACGATAAAGAGAGAGAGAGAGGGATGGTAATTATGCAGATAAGCTAAGAGCTAGCATTAAGAGAATCTACATATCTGCTGCGTCTGGATGACCCGACATACTCCCCCCGTTGGAAGCCTGGCTTTCAACAGCATCCTTAAGGGGCAGAAGACACAGCTTATTAACTGCTCGTTTTGTCACTCCAGATGTTGTCTTGAGAACGGCAACTCGAGCAACTCCATCTCCACCACAGAGAAGCTCAACGACTCTCGCTAGGGGCCACTTCATCGGAGGCAAGTTCTCATCCTTAACCAGCACCACGTCACCGACAACTAGGCCAGGCTTCGGGGTACGCCATTTGGAGCGCTGCTGCAGTAGCGTCAGGTATTCTTCCTTCCATCGGGTCCAGAAGACCTGCTGCAAGTAGGCCACACGTTGCCAGCCATCCAACCGATTGAAGTTAAGGGCGGTCACATCCGGCTCGATGAATGAGGATGGTGGGCCACCATTCAGAAAGTGGGCTGGCGTTAGCACATCCAGGTCAGCGGGATTTTCTGAAATTGAGACTAAAGGCCGGGAGTTAACTACTGCCGAGATATGGCACAGAAGAGTCCGCAGCTCGTCGAAGGCCAACACTGAAGGCCCAATAGCGCGGTAGAAATGGTGCTTCGCCGTCTTCACCGCAGCTTCCCAGAGACCACCAAAATGTGGCGATCTGGGAGGAATAAAACGCCAATCAATGAGCTCCGCTAGGCAAAAATCCAACGTCGCTTTCTGATGCTCGTCGCTGAGGAACAGGCGTCTCAACTCAATCAGCTCATTGCGTGCACCCACAAAGTTCGTTGCATTGTCCGACCAAATCTGCCGCGGTTTTCTCCTGGTGCATATAAATCTCTTGAGGCCATGCAGAAATGATACCGTTGAGAGATCCCTGATCAACTCCAAGTGAATGGCCTTTGTTGCGAAGCAGATAAAGACGCAAACGTAGCATTTTACTGGGGCCTTGTTTCGCACTTCCGGCTTGTAAAAGAATGGTCCACAAAAGTCAATGCCAGTGACTTCAAATGCATGAGAACCATCCAATCGCTCCTTTGGGAGATCCGCCATTACATGCTCCACTAATCGAGGCTTCGTTCGAAAGCATCTGACGCATTTGTTCAAAACCTTGCTCACTGTCTTCCTCCCCCAATAGGCCAATACTGGGATCGAACTATGCAGAGTAAGGCTCGAGGTCCAGTGTGCAGATTGCGCTCATGAAAATGAGTAACGATGGCGGCAGTGACAGGATGGCTCCGTGGCAATATGATTGGATGACGGGCATTAAAATCCAGCGACGAGTTCCTTAGTCGGCCATCCACTCTAAGAAGCCCAAACTGATCAATAAAAGGAGATAGAGATGCAAGCGAACTAGATTGGGCTACTACTCCTTTAGACTGCAAGGATTTAATGTCCTCCCATAAATGAGAACGCTGAACCAGACGAAGCAACAACTGAGTACCGCTTTGGATATCCGAAACCTTAAGATCCGGCTGCCGAATGCGATTGATAAATTTGAAGACGTATCCGAAAATCCTTTGAAGCGACGCGAAGGAATTTGCAAATTTGGAACAGGCTATGATGTCTACGTATGGCGATTTAATTAGCAGGACCTTTCGACGAAGCTCAAGTGTTGACTTCTCAGCAAGGATTGGGGAAGGCCAGTCAATCTTGGGTCTGCAAAGAAATGTCGGCCCGTTAAACCATATAGGGGACTCGCTCAGCTCAGTGGGAAGGACACCTCGGGAAAGAATGTCAGCCGGATTCAAAGAAGTTGGAACGTAACGCCACTCCATCGAATCGGTTCGCTCTTGAATGGCAGCAACTCGGTTTGCCACAAACATGTTGAATCTGGAGGGCTCGTCTCGGATCCAGGACAGCGCAACCGCAGAGTCACTCCAACAATAATACTGTCCCTTAAATACGTTGGTGCCAGCTACTTCCGAGATGAGCTTAGACAAGAGATCGGCTCCACAAAGCTCCAGCTTGGGCACGGTGAGTGTCTTCAAGGGAGCGACCCTTGACTTTGAACAAAGCAACTGCGACTGTCCACTGCACACGATGTAGACACAGGCGCCGTATGCTTCCATGCTGGCATCACAAAATCCATGGACCTGAATCTCAGAGTTAGGAGACAGAACTAGCCGAGGGAAACACAAACGCTTGATTTGCACAAAACTCCTGCATATCGAATTCCATTCCGTATTCTGAGCTTCAGGAAGGCTTTCATCCCAGGATAACCTTTCCTTGCACAATTGCTGAAGGAAAATTTTCGCTTTTGCTATCACCGGACCAACCAATCCAAGAGGATCATAAAATCGTGCAATGGCAGACAAGACAGAACGCCTACAGGGACTTGAGGTCAACTGCAAGACAGAAAACGAGAACAATAGCTGATCAGAGGCAGGATCCCAGGCTAAACCCAGAGTTTTGGTAAAGTCAGTGCCGTCATCAAACTTCAAATATGACTCCTTATCTTCGTCAGACACTCCACACAAAGCCGCTGGCACGTTTGAGCACCACTTTCTAAGTTTAAAGCCTCCTCTGGACAGAATTTTAGAGGTCTGATCTACAATGATGATAGCCTCGTCCACGGTCTGGGCTCCAGATATCAGATCATCTACGTAAAAGTCGCGCTGAATGACCTCAGCCCCAAGCGGAAACGAAGAATGCTCGTCTGTTGACAGCTGATGCATAGCCCGCACAGCCAGAAATGATGCAGGCTTCGTGCCATAAGTGACGGTGTCCAGCTTGAATACTTGCAGCTTGTCCTGTGGGGAAGTCCTCCATAAAATGCATTGCAAATAGCTGTCCTCTGGATGTACCTTGACACAACGGTACATCTTACAAATGTCTCCAGTGATGGCTACCGGGTATGAGCGAAATCGAATTAAAATCTGGAACAGGGTATGTTGAATTACGGGGCCTGCCATGAGCAAATCATTGAGAGAGTAGCCTGATGAAGTAGCGGCAGATCCGTCAAAAACGACGCGAAGCTTTGTAGTGGAACTATCCTCCTTTGTGACGCAATGATGAGGCAAAAAGAAGCGACAAGAAGCGAGGTCTGCGCCAGCAACTGTTGACATGTGCCCCAAGTCAAAGTATTCCTTTATAAAAGCCGCATATTGGGCCTTCAAGGCTGGCCGACGATCTAGCTTCCTCTCTAGGGACAGGAATCTACGATAAGCTTGCTGGTAGGACTCACCCAATAATTCCAGGTTGAGCTTGGCAGGCAAACGAACAGAATAGTCTCCAGCAGGGGAACGAATGAAATGCTTTTTAAAGTGCGCCTCACAGTCCTGTTCTTCCTTAGTAGAATGCGCAATTGGCTCCACGCAGCTTTCCACCTCCCAAAATCGACGAAGAAGATCATCAAGTCGATCTAAGCTATTATCCCTACTAACGATAGGTAAAGGAATGGTCGAGATTAACGATGAGCCATTGGAGACGCCATATCCTCCGGAAACAACCCATCCCAGGCGAGTTTTTTGTATAAGCGGTAATCCAGGTGGGAGCTTAATTTGCCCAACGCACAACAGCTCGTAAAATAAACTGGCTCCAATCAAGAGATCCACACGCTGAGGGACATAAAATGTAGGATCAGCTAATTGTATGTTTTGCGGTATTTTCCAGCTGCCGATGTCCACATTGAAACTAGGCTGTCGCTCAGTTATATTGGGAGCAATAACTGCGGTTATGTTCACCGTGTATTCAGAGGTTCGGGACTGCATCGTAATATTGACTGAGTGACCATTGGTAACAAAGCTGGAATCACCTATTCCAGTCACAGAAGCCGAAGTCTTTATCTTCTTTATTTGAAGCTGATCTGCGAAGCGAGATGTTATTAGATGCAGCTGAGAACCGGAGTCAAGAAGGGCTCGACATGGAACGAAAACTCCAGACCGATTTCTTACGAGAACAGTGGCAGTGGCTAGGAGCACAATGTCAGTACTGAAATCCTGAGCAATAAGAGCAGTGGATGTGGAAGGCACGGCAGATGGTTCAACGACAGTATTGGGTACAATAGAGGCATGAGCTTCTAGAAGCTGAGATCCTGCCTGTGGGGAAGCTGAGGCCAAATTTCCCAAGTGAAGGAGGGTGTGGTGTTTAGCTCCGCATGCACGACAATTGCTGGAATTGCACTGTCTCAACTGATGCCCTAACTTAAGGCAGTTTATGCAAAGCGCGAGTCTCTTCACTTCTTGAAGCCGATTAGTAGGGGGCAGGGCTTTAAAATCTTGGCAGTAGTGAATAGAGTGACCAGAAGCATTACAATATGAACAAATCCATGGGTTGATATTTGTGGCAACAAAAGCAGATCTACGGGAATTGGACGTTCTATTATTTCCCACCTGATTGCCAGACGCGTAGCTTGCCATGGCGAAATCCATAGTCTCCAATGTCCTGCATCGCTGCTCCAAAAACGATGCCATGGATTCCCACGTCGGAATTACATTGACGAATGCTGGATCCTCTAACCGCTCTTCCCATTTGGCCTGGCTCGCAGGATCTAGCTTTTGCAGCAGTATTTGGACGATGATGCATCCTGCGATTTGTTCAGTCGTGCCCAATCCCTTCAGAGCACGAATATGAGCGTTGAATTTATCTGACAGATCACGAAGCGTCGAGACGGAACCACTTTGCACTGCCTTAAGCCCCAGGATCTCAGTAATGTGTGCCTGAAAAACCAAACGACGATTATCAAATCGGTTTTGCAATAAGTTCAAAGCAACAGAATAATTGCCATCCGAAATTTCCAGCGAGCGGATGGTTTCCAACGCAGAATCCCTCAGGCATGAACGTAGATGCTGCAGCTTTTCTATGTTGGTCAGGTCAGGATGACTGTCTATGATGGATGTGAACATGGAATAAAAATCTGCCCAATTCGCATAACCTCCAGCGAATTTCGGAAGTTCAAGAGCGGGAAGTGGAATCGCTCGGCGAGTTTGTCGCTGCTGATGGCCGGAAAGACCGGGCGTATTACCATCAGCAAAAGTTGAATGTTGTAATTGCGAGGAGCGCTTCGTGATCTCCGATCGAACCGTCGACTTCAGAACTACGATGACATCATCAAATTTCTCCTCCAATTCACTTCCAATTTCCTCAAAATCCAACTCTTCGAGCTCGTTGAGAACCCTTTTAAATGCCGTTTGAAGTTCCTCGATAAGTTCCAACCTCACATGAAGGCCAGAATCGTCAAAAGAATTCAAAGCCGAACTTGAAAGAGATTCCATTAACCGCTCCACTCTATTAAACATTGAAGTTGCCTTGCGCTTCAGAAATGTCACCCTGTTTGAATTGCCATTGTCGGTGACGCTTACCGAATTTTCTTGAGACATATTAAGCAGGCACAACAACAACAATAAATGCAGCAGTTTCGGCGGGCAAATTTGGCTTCAGCGGGAAGATGAACGCAAAAAGGGAATAGCGAAAAATGATCCGCTGCTGGTATATCGCCTTATGTACGAGTTTGTGTAACAATTTGTTTATTTGCACAAATCAATTAATATATGTATATACATTAATATTGTTTAGGGCAGGCAAACGCACAATTCAGCTGCAACTCGGCGGGCAAAATTCGGCTTTAGCGGGAAGATGAGCGCAAAGAAAAATAACGAAAATCTGGTCTATATACCGCCTTATGTACAAGCTTGTGTTATGTTATTTGCACAAATCAACTTATACGAATTTGTTTTGTTTATGGCCGGCCAACGCACAACGAAGCTGCAGCACCGATTAAAAGAGATATGCAGCTGGTAAAATAAATTAATTCTTGTGAATTGCACTGGGTATTTTTATGCACAAATCACGTCGGGGTCACCAATGTTTAGCTAATAAGCTTTTTTATTAGCTGTGGAAATTAAAGAATTAACAAAATTTTGAGTTCGATTTATGCGAGAGCAGCGATTTTATTTCGACGAAAATGAGTTACAAAAATGTTCCGTGAGATCGAAAGGAAGAATACAATTGAATTGAATAAAGACGCGGATCAGCCGATTGCTGACCGAAAGTATAAACCAACAAGCAACGAGAGTGGTGAATAGAACGATAAAGAGAGAGAGAGAGGGATGGTAATTATGCAGATAAGCTAAGAGCTAGCATTAAGAGAATCTACATATCTGCTGCGTCTGGATGACCCGACACCAATAATGCAGCTAGATAGATATTTTAATAACAAACTCAGAGAGGTATTCCACTTTTAAATCGGGTAAAAATTTCAAAAGTTATGGGCTAAGCAGTGCTGGGATCTGGTCACTTTTCTGGAAACCCATTTTTTGCAAATTTTGACAGGTCGGGGGTCATACAAAAATTACAAAACATTAACCAAAAATTCGAAAATAAACCAATGATGCAGCTAGATAGATATTTTAATAACAAATTCAGAGAGGTATTCCACTTTTAAATCGGGTACAAATTTCAAAAGTTATGGGCTAAGCAGTGCTGGGATCTGGTCACTTTTCTGCAAACCCATTTTTTGCAAATTTTGACAGGTCGGGGGTCATAAAAAATTACAAAATATTGACCAAAAATTCGAAAATAAGCCAAAAATGCAGCTAGATAGATATTCTAATAACAAACTCAGAGGGGTATTCCACTTTTAAATCGGGTAAAAATTTCAAAAGTTTGGGCTAAGCAGTGCTGGGATCTGGTCACTTTTCTGCAAACCCATTTTTTGCAAATTTTGACAAGTCGGGGGTCATAAAAAAATACAAAACATTGACCAAAAATTCGAAAATAAACCAATGATGCAGCTAGATAGATATTTTAATAACGAATTCAGAGAGGTATTCCACTTTTAAATCGGGTAAAAATTTCAAAAGTTATGGGCTAAGCAGGGCTGGGATCTGGTCACTTTTCTGGAAACCCATTTTTTGCAAATTTTGACAGGTCGGGGGTCACAAAAAATTACAAAATATTGACCAAAAATTCGAAAATAAACCAATAATGCAGCTAGATAGATATTTTAATAACAAATTCAGAGAGGTATTCCACTTTTAAATCGGGTAAAAATTTCAAAAGTTATGGGCTAAGCAGTGCTGGGATCTGGTCACTTTTCTGCAAACCCATTTTTTGCAAATTTTGACAGGTTGGGGGTCATAAAAAATTACAAAACATTGACCAAAAATTCGAAAATAAACCAACGATGCAGCTAGATAGATATTTAAATAACAAATGCAGAGAGGTATTCCACTTTTAAATCGGGTAAAAATTTCAAAAGTTATGGGCTAAGCAGTGCTGGGATCTGGTCACTTTTCTGCAAACCCATTTTTTGCAAATTTTGACAGGTTGGGGGTCATAAAAAATTACAAAACATTGACCAAAAATTCGAAAATAAACCAACGATGCAGCTAGATAGATATTTAAATAACAAATTCAGAGAGGTATTCCACTTTTAAATCGGGTAAAAATTTCAAAAGTTATGGGCTAAGCAGTGCTGGGATCTGGTCACTTTTCTGCAAACCCGTTTTTTGCACATTTTGACGGGTCGGGGGGTCATAAAAAATTAAAAAAATATTGACCAAAAATTCGAAAATAAACCAATAATGCGGCTAGATAGATATTCTAATATCAAATGCAGAGAGGTATTCCACTTTTAAATCGGGTAAAAATTTCAAAAGTGATGGGCTAAGCAGTGCTGGGATCTGGTCACTTTTCTGCAAACCCATTTTTTGCAAATTTTGACAGGTCGGGGGGTCATAAAAAATTACAAAACATTGACCAAAAATTCGAAAATAAACCAATAATGCAGCTAGATAGATATTTTAATAACAAATTCAGAGAGGTATTCCACTTTTAAATCGGGTAAAAATTTCAAAAGTTATGGGCTAAGCAGTGCTGGGATCTGGTCACTTTTCTGCAAAACCATTTTTTGCAAATTTTGACAAGTCGGGGGTCATAAAAAATTACAAAACATTGACCAAAAATTCGAAAATAAACCAATAATGCAGCTAGATAGATATTCTAACAACAAATTCAGAGAGGTATTCCACATTTAAATCGGGTAAAAATTTCAAAAGATTGGGCTAAGCAGTGCTGGGATCTGGTCACTTTTCTGGAAACCCATTTTTTGCAAATTTTGACAGGTCGGGGGTCATAAAAAATTACAAAATATTGACCAAAAATTCGAAAATAAACCAACGATGCAGCTAGATAGATATTTTAATAACAAATTCAGAGAGGTATTCCACTTTTAAATCGGGTATAAATTTCAAAAGTTATGGGCTAAGCAGTGCTGGGATCTGGTCACTTTTCTGCAAACCCATTTTTTGCAAATTTTGACAGGTCGGGGGTCATAAAAAATTACAAAATATTGACCAAAAATTCGAAAATAAACCAATGATGCAGCTAGATAGATATTTTAATAACAAATTCAGAGAGGTATTCCACTTTTAAATCGGGTAAAAATTTCAAAAGTTTGGGCTAAGCAGTGCTGGGATCTGGTCACTTTTCTGCAAACCCATTTTTTGCAAATTTTGACAAGTCGGGGGTCATAAAAAATTACAAAACATTGACCAAAAAATCGAAAATAAACCAATGATGCAGCTAGATAGATATTTTAATAACAAATTCAGAGAGGTATTCCACTTTTAAATCGGGTAAAAATTTCAAAAGTTATGGGCTAAGCAGTGCTGGGATCTGGTCACTTTTCTGCAAAACCATTTTTTGCAAATTTTGACAAGTCGGGGGTCATAAAAAATTACAAAACATTGACCAAAAATTCGAAAATAAACCAATAATGCAGCTAGATAGATATTCTAACAACAAATTCAGAGAGGTATTCCACATTTAAATCGGGTAAAAATTTCAAAAGATTGGGCTAAGCAGTGCTGGGATCTGGTCACTTTTCTGCAAACCCGTTTTTTGCACATTTTGACAGGTCGGGGGGTCATAAAAAATTAAAAAATATTGACCAAAAATTCGAAAATAAACCAATAATGCGGCTAGATAGATATTCTAATATCAAATGCAGAGAGGTATTCCACTTTTAAATCGGGTTAAAATTTCTAAAGTTATGGGCTAAGCAGTGCTGGGATCTGGTCACTTTTCTGCAAACCCATTTTTTGCAAATTTTGGGTCATAAAAAATTACAAAATATTGACCAAAAATTCGAAAATAAACCAATGATGCAGCTAGATAGATATTTTAATAACAAATTCAGAGATGTATTCCACTTTTAAATCGGGTAAAAATTTCAAAACTTACGGGCTAAGCAGTGCTGGGATCTGGTCACTTTTCTGCAAACCCATTTTTTGCAAATTTTGACAAGTCGGGGGTCATAAAAAATTACAAAATATTGACCAAAAATTCGAAAATAAGCCAATAATGCAGCTAGATAGATATTCTAATAACAAACTCAGAGGGGTATTCCACTTTTAAATCGGGTAAAAATTTCAAAAGTTTGGGCTAAGCAGTGCTGGGATCTGGTCACTTTTCTGGAAACCCATTTTTTTCAAATTTTGACAGGTCGGGGGTCATAAAAAATTACAAAATATTGACCAAAAATTTGAAAATAAACCAATGATGCAGCTAGATAGATATTTTAATAACAAATTCAGAGAGGTATTCCACTTTTAAATCGGGTAAAAATTTCAAAAGTTATGGGCTAAGCAGTGCTGGGATCTGGTCACTTTTCTGCAAACCCGTTTTTTGCACATTTTGACAGGTCGGGGGGTCATAAAAAATTAAAAAAATATTGACCAAAAATTCGAAAATAAACCAATAATGCGGCTAGATAGATATTCTAATATCAAATGCAGAGAGGTATTCCACTTTTAAATCGGGTAAAAATTTCAAAAGTGATGGGCTAAGCAGTGCTGGGATCTGGTCACTTTTCTGCAAACCCATTTTTTGCAAATTTTGACAAGTCGGGGGTCATAAAACATTACAAAACATTGACCAAAAATTCGAAAATAAACCAATGATGCAGCTAGATAGATATTTTAATAACAAATTCAGAGAGGTATTTCACTTTTAAATCGGGTAAAAATTTCAAAAGTTATGGGCTAAGCAGTGCTGGGATCTGGTCACTTTTCTGCAAACCCGTTTTTTGCACATTTTGACAGGTCGGGGGGTCATAAAAAATTAAAAAAATATTGACCAAAAATTCGAAAATAAACCAATGATGCGGCTAGATAGATATTCTAATATCAAATGCAGAGAGGTATTCCACTTTTAAATCGGGTAAAAAATTCAAAAGTTATGGGCTAAGCAGTGCTGGGATCTGGTCACTTTTCTGCAAACCCATTTTTTGCAAATTTTGACAAGTCGGGGGTCATAAAAAATTATAAAACATTGACCAAAAATTCGAAAATAAACCAATAATGCAGCTAGATAGATA